AAAGAAAAATCAAATAACAAAATTCACAGCAAAATGAATGAACCTGGAAAGTGTAATAATAAGTGAGATCACCCAATCTCAGAAAGTAAAAATCCAAGTTTCCCCTCATATACAGATCCTAGCCTTTAATGTATAAATGTAAATTTTAATTTAGAATTGAGAACAAGAAAAAGATAATTTGAGAAGAAAAGTAGCATAGTTTTGTTCTTTTTTCATGGAGGATGTGTGAATTCAATTTTCTGCATAACTGAGTATCAGAAATAATTTTTGTATTTCACAAGAGTCTAATAAATGCTGTTGCTTTTGAGCAGTGATTTTGAGAGTTGGACTTCCTTTTTGATTTCACTGACCATTAGTGCTGTGGGAACTGGACATGACTGGACAATGATTTAGATATGCTGAATGACAAAATACCATTATTGTTCTTGGTATCTACTTTCTTATTTTGCTATAATTTTTCTAATAAAACTTTAGGCCATTAAAAAATAAAAGTCAGGGGCTGAAGAGATGGTTCAGTGGTTAAGAGCACTGAGTGCTCTAACAGAGGACCCAGGGTTCTAATCCCAGCAGCCACATACAGGCAATACATTCATACACATAAAATAAAAATAATAAAAAAGTTAGCTTTACACAAGCGTTCTTAGTTATTTTTTAAAAATATTATTTTTGCCAGGCGTGGTGGCGCATGCCTTTAGTCCCAGCACTCAGAGGCAGAGGCAGGCAGATCTCTGTGAGTTCAAGGCCAGCCTGGTCTACATAGTTAGTTCAGGTCAGCTGGGACTACAGGGAGACCCTGTCTCAGAAAGACAAAAAAAAATTATTTTTATTTTATGTGTATGAGTGTATTGCCTGTATGTATGTAAGTGCACCCATGTTGTACAATGCCTGCAGAGGTCAGAAGAAGGAGCTGAATTCCCTGAAACCGGAGATACAAACTGCCATGTAGGTTCTGGAAACTGAACCTGAGTCCTCTACAAGAGCAGCCAGTGCTCTTAACTACTGAGCCATCTCTTCAGCTCCAGGAATATTTTTTAAGTGAGGTAAAATCTGTAGCTGATCTACTCTGTCATTATCACTACATTTACGTGACTGATGGAAATCATGTTATATATCACTAAGCAACAATAGTTGAAAAAGAGTAAATGGCTCTTACATGGAAAGAATTGGTGCCACAAGATCCAGGGAGGCGATGAGGATTCCCAGCTCCGCAATGGCAGCAGTTAGAAGTAAAGCCCAGGTAGGCTCCCCATTAGCTTTGCTGTGACCAAAAACCTGTACACAGGAGGGTAAAGATCAGGCACAGAGGCATTGCTCAACGTGCCAGTTTTAGACACCTGAAAGATAACAGTGCTATTTTTTAAACACCTTCATAGCAATCATACATAAACTCATTCAAATAATTTAGAGGTTTTTGTTCTATAACCCTACCTGTTTATGATCTCCTAATTCTTAAACAGAAGATAATGATGTTTTTCATAAAATGTTGGAAAAAAGAAGAGGGTACAAGAAAGCATCACTCACCCTTAGGAAAGGTATGATGTTATCCTTGGCAATAGCCTGCAGCAGCCTTGGTGCACCTGTGAGGCTCTGAAGTCCAGCCCCACAAGTTGAAAAGAAGGAGCCAATCACAATTACCCATGGGGATGGCCAAGATAAGGTGCCTACCACCAAATTACCTTTCACAGCATCACCAAATCTGGGAAAGAAATAAAGAGTGGGAAAATTTAATCTGAAAATAACTTTAGAGTGAAAAATTTAGGAAGACATTCACCCAGTTTTTCTTGCTTATAATCTTAAACAATGTTATTTATTTTTTATTTTCTGTGTATGTGTGTATTGCCTGCATGCATGTAAGTACACCCATGTCATGCAATACCCTTGGTGGACAGAAGAGGCCGTCAGATCCCCTGAAACTGGAATTATGGACAGTTGTTAGCTGCTATGTGGATGCTGGGATTTGAACCTGGATCTTCTGCAAGAACAGCTAGTGTTCTTAACCACTGAGCCATCTCCCCAGCCCCAAAATTAAACTCTTTTTTTTTGGTCTTTTTTGAGACAGGGCCTCCCTGTAGCCCCAGCTGGCCCGGAACTTGCTATGTAGATCAGGCTGGCCTTGAACTCACAGAGATCTGCCTGCCTCTGCCTCCCGAGCGCTGGGATTAAAGGCGTGCGCCACCACGCCTGGCAGTAATAATATTCTTAAAAGGTTAAATGGGAAAAATAATCTAGATAGCCATAAGAAGTAGAATGCATAAATTATGTATTGATGCAGTTGAAAAACCATAAAGTAATGAAAGTAAATAGAACACACACACACACACACACACACACACACACACACACACACAAATTCACACTGTTGAGTAAAAGATCAAACACAAAATGTAGGTATGTACTATTTCATAGAATATCAACAGCACCCAAAAATCTCATTTAGATCTACTCCCAAATACTGGTCCTTACTTCCTCTCCAATAGCCACTATTCTGGTTTTTACGTGTGTGAGTGTTTTGCCTGCATGTTTGTAACTGCAGGATGTGCTGGCAATGACCATAAAGTCTAGAAGAGGGTGTAAGAGCTAGTATTATTTTCAGTTGTTAGCTGCCATATGGTTGCTGGGAACTGAACCTGGGTCTGCTGCAAGAGCAGCTTTGCTCTTAACTGTGGAGCCATCTCTCCAGCTGCTGTTCTGATTTTTAATATTCCGCAGTTTTATCTGTTTCTCTCTCTCTCTCTCTCTCTCTCTCTCTCTCTCTCTCTCTGTGTGTGATATGTACATGTGTGCAGGTACATCTGTCCATGTACTTAGAGGCCAGAGGAGAATGTTGGGTGTCCTGCTCTATTACTCTCTGCCTTACTTCCTTGAGACAGGATCTGTCACTGAACATGGAGCTAGGCTGGCAGCCAGTAAGTTCCAGCAGTCCTCTTCTCTGCCCCACACAGCACTGGGGTTAAAGGTGCATGCATAACCCTACCCAGCATCTTATATAGGTTTTGAGGATTTAAACTCGGGTCCTCATGCTTACGCAGCAAGTGCTCTTACCCTCAAAGACATCTTCCCAGGCTGTTGTAAGCTTTATATAAATAAAACACATTAGTGATTATAAAATTTTTTAATATATCAATTTTTTGCAGTTATTCCCTCTTAGGAATCTGCCTTAAGAAAAAAACCCCTAATGTTAAAATGTTATAAACAGATAAAAATATGCAAAGTATGAATAATGCTATGTTAAGATTATGGATCTCTGCTCTGATTTTTGTATTTTTTTGTACTTTTCTGTTTTTTTTTCCCCAAAGCAGATATTGTTGCTAATCTGAAGGAGAAAGCTGTAAGTAAAGCTTTGTTTTTTAACCCTAGTGGGTTTTTGTTGTTGTTGTTGTTTTTCATTATTTTATTTTATGTATATGCATGTATTGCCAGCATGTATGTAAGTGCACCCGTATCGTGCAATGCCTGTAGACAGAAGAGGTCATTGGATCCCCTGGAACTGGAGTTACAGACAGTTAGCTGCCATGTAGGTGCTGGGATTTGAATCTGGGTTTTCTGCAAGAACAGTCAGTGTTCTTAACTGGTGAGCCATCTCTCCAGCCCCCATTATTGTTGTTTTTGGAGACATGGTCTCCCTGTAGCTCCAGCTGGTCTGGAATTCACTATGTAAACCATGCTGGCCTCAGTCTCACAGAGATCTGCCTGACTCAGACTCCTAAGTGCTGAGATTAAAGCTGTGCACCACCACACCCGGCTGGTTATTTTTTGTTCTTCCCCACTGGTGTTCCTGGGAGTTGAGTGCAGGGCCTCAAATGTATGCTAGGCAAACGCTATGCTGTAACAGCCGCATTCTGAGCCATAAATAAAAAGAATGCTACTACTATGAATATGCACAAACATTTCTGCTAGATACACCCAGAAGTAAAATTGCCAAATCACAGATATGGACGTGTGCAACTCTAGGAGATAATGACCAGTAGTTTTACAAACTAGCACTGAACTTTACACTGAATAATTTTTATATTACAGTATAATTTACCAGTGTTCCAGACATTGCCCATTAAAATAGTACAGGAATATACTGTCACACACACACACACACCACACACACACACACACACACACACGCACACACGCACGCATGCAGAGCTACTAATACATACACACATATACACACATGTATGTATGTACTGTGGTACCTATTTTTCTCAACAATATTTATAATAGCATCTGTTGGGATTCCTTTCCTCAAAGAGCTCAGTCTAATGGGGAAAGTAATAATGAAAATGAGTAGCTGCAATACAGTATGGTGAGTGCAACAACACAGTATGTTCAAGCATAGTGGATAGATGAAAGGAGGAGTGATGTATTTGGGTGAATATCGGAAAACTTCATAGGAAAGAAGATTCAGCCTAGTTTTAAAGATGAACCTGAGTCTGCCAGGTAGGAATAACCATTTGAAGCAAAGGAAACAGTAAAGACAAAGGTCTGGAGATCATCCTGGTGGCAGTATGGAGGATGGACTAGAAGGTTTGGTAAAACTGAAAGGGAGATTATCAGAGAATTATAAGGAAATAATCCTGAAGCCCAGTGAAGAGTGAGGGACCACTGAACAGTGGAAAGTTGGATGATGTCTAGGCTAGGCTGACACCTAGATTCCTTTTGGAGAGGGAGTGAAGGTGAGGCATTAACCAAGACAGGGAAAATGTAAGAAGCAGTGAGTTTCAGGGAGAGGTTTGTCTATAAAATATCTGACAAAAATACTGAAAGACAAGTAGTAGTAAAAACTCAGAAGCCTTCATGAAGGAAATGAAGAGAGTTTCAGAATTTTATTTAGAATGCCAAAATGCAACTGGATAGCTACTTCTCTGTCACAGAGGAGATGCTGGAGACATTTACATATTTTTTTACTTGTCTTCCTTTAATTTCTTATAGCTTTCTAGCAGTCCTTGGTGTATATGGAAGTACTCAGAATTCAAAATTCACTACTTTTTTGGGAAGAGCTATATTTATTGTATCTTATCTAATACTAATACCACATTGGTCCTTATTATTTACTAACCTGCTGGAAATTACACACATTTATTTTAATCTTTCTTTATCCTTTTTAAAACTACCTTATTTTTTAAAAAATTTATGTGTATATGTCTTTCATGTATGTAAGTGCACCTATGTCGTGGAATGCCCAGAGGTCAGAAGAGGCCATTAGATCCCTTAAATCTGGAGTTATGGACGGTTGTTAGCTGCCATGTAGGTGCTGGGAACTGAATATAGATCCTCTGCAATAATGTCCAGTGCTCTTAACCCCTGAGCCATCTCTCCAGTCCCTTCCTTTGTGTGTGTGTGTGTGTGTGTGTGTGTGTGTGTGCGCGCGCGCGCGTGCGTTGCTGGGATCATACCTAGGGCCTTCCTTGTGCTATACAAGCACTCCACTACCAAGCTATAATCCCCACCCACATTTTCTACATTTTTTGTTATAATTGACACTAAGGTTGGATTTTTGAAATTATATCTGTCTTAGAGCTATGCTGGGTGACCAGGTATAATGGAAGGTAGACATGATTATTATTAGGAAATTAACTACTTACTTGTCTCTGAGAACAACTCCTTCAATACATGCACCAAAAAGGACAACATTGCTTAAATCTGTCATACTAAGAGTCAAGGAAATTGTTGCTACCCTTTAACATTATACAGAAAGTACACACTAAAGGTAATTCTTATGTCAGTAAAATGAGCTGCACAATTCACTATTCCTACAAAATATTTCTTAAATCATGTTTATGAAGTGAGCAGATTATCTGGCAATAACCGAGGTGGTAGGAAGAGATATTATTATTAGGATTAAAATACTGATCATTTTAGTTCTACTGTATGTTTCTATGACTACAACTCAAACCAGATCCATGAAAAGGATACAGACGAAGGATGTGGTCAAGATGGCAAGGATAGTTCCAATGGGAATGGACTTCTGAGCATCTTTCAGATCTCCAGATCTGTTTGATCCAGCCATGATACCTTGGGGTTGGGGGGGAGATCCAAGTTAACTTCTTTGGTTCCTGGGCATTTTGATGTTCATACTGATACTGAAGACTAGAGACAAAACTGGGAATACTGAGAATATCATTCTATCTCCTGAGAAAAATCACTCACTGGCTGATAGCTCCTAAACTGATGACAGTCCCATCCACTTACCTGTGACAGAGGGAAAGAAGATTCCCACCAGAAGAGTGAAGGAGGTGGTAATGTCAACAAGAACATATTCATGATTTAAGCTGCCCAAGACATCTGAAGATTTGGCTGAGGGTTTCTCAATGATTTCTCCTTTTGGTAGATAATTACTCCAAAGGTTTTCTGCAGGAGGGTGAGGTGGGTGAGCAGAAGGACAACATAATAATTTAAGCAACAGAAAATAACTACACAGTTTCGTACGCAACTAATTGTCAATCAGAGACTCCTATAGTTTATATTAATTTTTTTACAGTACTTGAACCAAGAGCGTTTCACATGCTAGGCAAGTGCTTTACTACTAACCAAGGCTCCATCCCAGGCCTTTATAATAGTTTTTAAATAGTGATTATTTCTTCAACATGAGCATATATACACATATTAAGTATTGCACATTAAAATGCAATTAAAGCATAATGTCATTTCTTGTTTGCTCAAACATAATTTAACAAAATGCTTTGGTATAACAAGTACAGTTAACTTTTCTAATACAAATCAGTAAAAGTTAACCAGACTAAAATCAAATGCCCCATAAATCCCATTTTTTACTTTTATTGGTTATCAAAGTTTTTAATATCTTAGTATGAAACTGATTAATGGGACAAAGAAATTTATGAGCCAAACATTTAAGATAGGTATCACTTAAAGGGTTTCAGAAATTTAACTGACTAGGAAAACGTGTGCATGTGATGACATTAAAATAGTTCTATTTTAGGTATTACTGCAGGAAAAAACTGGCAGTTTTTCAAGAATAGTCAAGCATAATGGTGCATTCCTATAATCCCAGGTAATCAGGAGCCTGAAGTAGGAGGGTTGCTTAACCAGGAGTTTAAGGCCAGCCTGAGGAACACTGTAAGAACCCTGCCTCAAGAAAAAAATACTGACAACATACATCTCTTCGTAGGCTAAAAAGTCTGGCTCTGTTCTCAAAGGAAAGCAAATTTTAATAGATACTACTCTGCAAGGGAGCCCTAAATATGGATAATTTCAATTAAGTAGAAATAGATGAGGCATGCCAGTACATGCCTAGAATCCCAGTACTCAGGGGGCTAGGCAAGAGGATTGTGAGTTTGAGTTCAGCTATGGATACATTGTGAACTGGAGATGAGTTTGGACTACAAAGGGAGACCCTGTTTCAACTCAAAAAAAAAAAAAAAAAAAGTAGGGGCTGGAGAGATGGCTCAGTGGTTAAGAGAACCGGCTGTTCTTGAAGGGGTTTGATTCCCAGAATCTAAGTGGCAGCTAAGAACTGTCTGTAACTACAATCCCATAAGCAACACTAATGAAACTCATTGTGTCAAGAGGGTAAGGGGTATGTGTGGGGATGTGTATGTGTGTCAATATGATCAAATTGATATGATTATATATACTTATAAACATGGTAATGAAACCCATTAGGTATAATTAATAAATGGTAATAGAAAACAAAAAAAAGTGAAAAAAAAAAAAAGACTCTAAGATGGGAAAGCTTATTTCCTTCTATTTTCCTTAGCGAGCTAGCGATCAAGTGAAAGCAAGAGAAACCCAAATAACCAAGTCTAATAATTCCCTAACTTACCTGTAATGATACCACTAGCCAAACCAGGAATGCCTTGGATTGATGTGATATTATTGTGAACAAAGTATTCATCACAGGTGGCATTGAAAAACTGACTTGAGTTACAGAAGAATCCCCATAACTTTGATGGTACTGTCACGTTGTTTACTTCCTTGGTCTTAGAGCAAACGTCAATATGCCTTGATGAAAGGGTGCGGTTACCCAGCATGCAGACACTAAATGAAAACAAAAACAGAAAGATCAAGACAGAAAAACAAAAGAGAAAACAAAATCTTAAAAGGAAAGAGGTTAGTAAAAGTAAAAAAAAAAAAAAATACTTCATTTCTTTTTAAAAAAATATTATTTTTACTTTATGTGTATGAGTGTATTGCCTGCTTATATGTAAATGCACCTGTGTTGTGCAATGCTTATGAAGTGAGAAGAGGGTGTCAGATCCCCGGGAACTGGAGTTACAGACAGTTGTCAGCTGCCATGTTGATGCTGGGAACCAAACCTGGGTCTCCTACAAGAGGGGTCAGTGCTCCCAATCACTGAGCCATCTCTCCAGCCCCACAACCTCATTTCTTTTTTTTTAATTAAAAAAATATTTTATTATTTTTGTGTGTATGTGTGTATTGCCTGCGTGTGGGTAAGTGCGCCTGTGTCGTGCAATGTCCACAGAGGACAGAAGAGGCTGTCGGATCCCCTGGAACTGGAGTTATGGACAGCTGTTAGCTGCCATGTGGGTGCTGGGATTCAAACCCGGGTCTTCTGCAAGAACATTCAGTGTTCTTAATCGCTGAGCCACCTCTCCAGCCCCATAACCTAATTTCTAAGCAATTCTACTGCCATAGGTGGGACATGAACTATTATTTATGGACTAGCACTGTAAAAAGTGACTTACATTTTCTGTGAGTATAATCCTTATAGTGCATTAGTGTTTCTATTTTGTGGTAGGAGGCAGTGAAGTTTAGAGACATTCAATAGTCTACCCAAGATCAAGGTCATACAAGTGACTGATGTTGTAAGAACTGTCAGAAGAAACTATGCTAACTCATTTACAAAAAATGCATTATATTTTTTTTTTTTTTTTTTTTTTTTTTTTTTGTAGCCCTGGCTGGCCTGGAACTTGCTATGTAGACCAGATTGTCCTTGAACTCACAGAAATTTGCTTCCTCTGTCTCCCTAGTGCTAGGATTGAAGGCCCTGCCCCTATTCATCCTTTTTAAGTCTAAAAGAATCCTAGAGGGACTAGGGAGATGGCTCATTGGGTAAAAGCACTTGCTATATATGCATGAGAACTTGAGTTCAGATCTCCACTACCCACGTAAAAAGTCTGGCTTAACCAGACTTTAATCTTCGGGGAGAAACAGGAAGACAGGGAGAACTGCTAGGGTTTGCTGGCCAGCAAGTCTAGTCAAAAAATGGAGAATTCTAGGTTCAGTGAGGGACCCTTTCTCAAGAGAATAAGGCAGACAAGGATAGAGGGCACCACTGATATCCTCTCTGGCTTCCCCACATGCACGCACACACACATTCACACACACACACACACACACACACACACACACACAAAACCACCACCACCACCAAAAATCTGGGGTGTGTCTATTATTTTTAAACAATTCTGATTTTTGTTATTGTTTTGTTTCAGAGGGTGAGGAAAGACTACAGGAAAGAAGGAAGCGAGGACCGGAGGGAGGGAGGGGAGGAGAAAAAGAAAAAGAAAGGGGGCCTTTATATTCATAACCGCCTCTTGTTATGTTATACCTTATGACTACCATTGTAAGGAAGGCAGCTTAACTAGATTTAAAAAGCACATCCCTGTATGGTTCAAGGGAAAGCTGATTTTGAACTTAAGCCTAGACCCAGTGATAGTAAGGAAGTTTAGGGATAGTATAAATATTAACTTCAGATTTATTTTTCTTCTACCCAGAGATATAAATAAGAACAAAGGAATAATAGACCCATAGTGAAATACTTTTTAGGTTGAACAAAGAAAGTCTCAGAATCTGCAAAATGATTTCATACATACATAATGAACCACGTATCTATTACTTGGCTTCAAGAACTCAACAATCACTAGTTTTGTTTTAGGCATTCCTCTAATTTTTTTGAAACTTATTTTGCTGGAATATTTTAAAGAAAATACTATGAATTGTGACTTTTCCGCCAACAAAATAGAAGTGAAGATGCCCCAAAGGAGAACCTGAAGCAAAATGGAATTCTCCAAGTTTAAATACAACTAAAATATTCCATCTAAAACTTATATGGATCTGAAAAGATCTCAGCTATTTTACAGCCCCTAGATAAGCAAACTCAAAATTTAGGGTGGAATCTACTACTGACAGTATACAGGAAAATGTAGAAGAAATACTGAATAAAGTCAGGAAATCAGGACATTCACATTTTTTGGTTTTTGGTTTGTGGGTTTTTTTTTTTTTTTTTTTTTTTTTTTTTTTTTTTTTTTTTTTTTTTTTTTTGAGACGGTCTTCTTGTAGCCCCAGCTGGCTCAGAACTCACTATGTAGACCAGGCTGGCCTCAATCTCACAGAGAACTGCCTGCTGGGATTAAAGTGTGCACCACAATGCCCAGTTTGAAGCTCATGTTCTTTCTCTGCCATTAACTAACTATGGGGCAAGGGCTGGAGAGATGGCTCAGTGGTTAAGAGCACTGGCTGCTCTTGCAAAGGACCCAGGTTCAATTCCCGGCACCCACAAAGAAGATGATAACTGTCTGTAACTCTAATTCTAGGGGAATCTGATACCCTCTTCTGACCTCTGTGGGCATTGCACAGCACAGGTACATTCACATACATACAGACTCATACACAGAAAATAAAAAAATTATGAAGTATTTTTTAAAAAATAAAATAAAATTTAGCCAGGTGTGGTGGTGCATGCATTTAATCCCAGCACTCAGGAGGCAGAGGCAGGTGGATCTCTGTAAGTTCAAGGCCAGCCTGGTCTTGAGTCACACACACACACAACTAACTAACTAACTAAATAAATAAATAAATAAATAAATAAATAAATAAATAAATAAATTTAAAAATTAACTATGGGGCAAAGCTAACCTCACTGGATCTGTTTTTTCATCATGAAAAAAATAATCTATTTTTCTGTAACCTTGTTAAGTCAACAGTACTGATGTGTTTGATCCCCAGATGATCCAGATGACTTTTAAAAGGAAACATCTATAACAAGATTACAAATAACTCAGTGCCAGCCAGCCTCTGTACCACAAATTAAAGGGCAAACAGGTAAGCCTATGAGTGAAGGATCTTCACAAATCTACCACATTAGTACTGTGCTAGTTATGGCAGGTAATGTCCTCAATATATAGGGATACATTCAAATGATGTGACATTCATTCCCCTTTATTTTATAACTAGATGTTCTTAACATTTACAGTACTAAGAACAAAAAATTGAATAATTTAGGTAAGAGTTTAGACTTAATGTTTTTGATTGACTTAATGTTTAAAAAATTCAACATTTAAAATGCCTTATAAAGGTTGCTGGCAATGACTGCAATGCAAAGTCCTTTCTGGATGGTTTATATAAGCATAGTCATTACTGGAAGTAAACACCTAATCGGTGTACCTTAATAATGAGTACAGCTTCTAGGTCTATGCTTGGGATGTGAAGAAGTCAACAGGACAGTTTGCTAGGAAGCTTTCTGCCAGATAACTGGGCCAATAGAGGAATCAGACAGAGAATCCATGAAATTCTGACTGAAATGTTCACACCACCAGATATTGTCACTGACTACTAAATGATGCTAGGCCAAGAGATAGCCACGTACGGGAAGTGCGGTGGAGCAAAAGAAGACTTGATGGCACCAGCGTAGATAGCCAAGATGGACACAATAACACAGGCCAAGAAAAGTGAGGCAAACTTATTCACATAGCGAACGCCGATGAATACCACCAAAACCATGAGGACCAGGAAGGCTGTGCCATAGACACGCATGTTATTTAGCATGGCTGCTGATTCCTTGAGTGCATCATCGCTACGAAAGATGGCAGCTCGGGGAATAATATATACCTGTTAGACGAAAGAAAGGAGAAATTGAGGTTGTTTCAGAATAATCAAGAAAGCCATAACAATTTATGTTACTTTTATGAAGGAAAGCAAAGCTGGAACAGAACATGACTGGAGAATTAACCAGGGTTGTTTTGTTTTGAGACAAGTCTGCACTATGTAGCTGGCCTGGGATTCAGTATATAGACGAAGCTGGCCTCAAATGCACAGAGATCTGCCTGCATCTACTTCCGAAGTGTTAGGATTGAAGGTGTGTGTCACTATGTCCAGCCATGAATTAGCCAAAGTTCTATTTGGCTCTACAATGTCTATAGAATGTCATGGATTTTTTTTTTAATTTGCTATTCTGAGTATCTACATTTCTAAATCGGAAAGAGGAATAAATTAATGATTTTATTTAGAAAGATATATAAAAATAATTATATTATCCTGAGCCCTGTTTATTATTATTTTAAATAGAAAAAAACAAACACAAATATTTATCCCTGGGCTGGAGAGTATTTATCCCAAGGAGTAGAGAAAGTAAAAACTCTTTCACTGACATAAAGATATCAGAAAAGGGGCTAGGGACACAGTTCAGTCAGTGAAGTTCTTACTGTATACGAATAAGTACCTGAGTTTGAGCCCTTGCACCCATATAAGAAGCCAGGCATGGTGTCATGTGCTTGCAATACCTAGCCCTGTGGAAGTAGAGACAAGGGGACCCCTGGGGCTGACTAGCCAGCCAGTCTAAGGCAGCAAGTCCCAGGTCCCAATCAAAACTCTGCCTCAAAAAAACAGGATGGACAGCTAATGATGAACAGCAACTGAGGTTGCCCTCTGACCACCACATACTTGCACTCATGTGTGCACATGTGCACATGAACATACACCCATGTACACATGATATAAAAAAAGAATAATCTTTATTTTATTTTTTCTCCGTTGGCACAAGTCTTTCCTGCCTAGATATTAAACTTCTTGGTTGAGATGGTGGTGGTGGTGAGTGATCAGACAGAAGCAGACAAAGGATAACTCAACCTTTCTACCTGAGATTCATGGTAAGAGTGTAGTCACAGCGGTTATCACCTGATTGCCACAGCTAATCTCTCAGACTTCAATATAAAATGGAAACCACTCCAAATGTCTTCTTTATTGCAGACCAAAATTAAGTCACTACTTACCAGAAAAATTTCAATGGCACCAAGAATATACATGGCTGCTGCAAATGTGGTACCAAGATAAAAGCAGAGCCCAACAGCCCCTCCAAACTCTGGGCCCAGCGCTCTGGAAATCATGAAGTACGAACCCCCAGCTACAAGACAAAACAGCGTTAACAGGATAAAGAGTGTATTAGTAAGAATAATGTAGTCATAAATAATAAATAATATACATGGGCAATAAATGTTTCAGACTTGAAAACTCTGAATGTACAAAAAGTGGATTTGCTAATGGGAAGTGAAAAACAAAGCCTTTATTGTATGATGTACCTAATGCTCTATATGAAGCATTACATTTGCCACTATTAGGAAAAATACAAGAATATTTCCTAGAAGCATAAGATAGCCTAATAAAATACATTTTATAAACTAAAAATGTGACTGAAATTAAAGTATTGTAGTTTAAAAATAATAAGATTTCAAAGACAGCATCCTAAAGCCAAATAGTATTTGTCTCTATGGCTAATGGAAGATGACTGTTATAGTACCAAATGGACGACAGACTAAATGGTATTAAGTTCCTGTGGAGGCTGTACCTCTGGCTTTATAGCACAAACACAGTGATTAATCACTACTAATCCATGAAAGTCAACCTGGGTCTACTACTGACCTGGCACCACTCCATTAGTGGCAATGGCACTCATGGAGATAGCAGTCAACATTGTCTGTATAGAAAGAGAAATAAGAATTTTATTACTGGATAGAGCTGATATTTCTCTGCCATTTCCCCATGTGTGGACATTAGAACACTTACCAAGCATTTAACTCTACCTACTTCTACAAAGAGAGGTCTGTCTTTATAATATATTCAAAAGGAGTGGTAAGGAAAACAACATGGAAAATATGTTAGAACCTAACTGCATACTAGCTCCAATGTCAAGAACAATAATAGAGTAAGAAAGAGAAGCACTGAAAAATTGGGGGCATGTAAGAACCCAGGTCTTCTGCAAGAGCAGCCAGTGCTCTTATCCTCTGAGCCATCTCTCCAGTCCAAGAACTCTCAGCATCCACATGGCAGCTAACAATTGTCCCTAACTCCAGTTCCAGGGGATCTGACACCCTCTTCTGAACTCTATGGAGCCTGCATGACACAGGTTCACTTGCACATATGCAGGCAATAAACTCAAACACATAAAATAAAAAAATAACAAAATATTTTTAAAAAGCAATACATTAAAAAATTATCTAGTAACACAGTACAGCTTGGACTTTAAATAGGGAGTGGCTAGAGGCATGGTGACTGACTAGTAGGTTACCACAGTAGCTCAGTAAGAGGTTAAAAACTACAGTGGTGGGAGTGGGAAAAGGAAAGGCTGAATGTAAAATGTAAACTATTTCAAAGAGAGAATGGATTAGCCTCAGTGAATGACATCCAAGGTGTCATATATGGCCTTGAAGTTTCAAGGTTGAGAAACTGGGGAAAAGGGTAGTGCCATTAAATTAGTAGTGGTATGAACTATGTCTAGTTAACCTGCTTTGTTAGAACTCAGCTCAGCATGATGCTTATAGGGGGTATTAATATTCACTAAAACAAAAGGGAACAGTAGAAACCAATAATAAGATTGATAGATGTGGCTAGGATATATAAAAAGGAGCACTTTAAATTAGAGGAAGATAAGAATGGTCTGGGTGCAGGGGAGAGAAGATCTGGAAAGAACAACTGAACTTCCAGGGAAAGACAAGGAAAGGATATTTCAAAGTAAACCAAGCCAAATCTAGACTTGCCTCACCTTCTAAACCAGTCAGTTTTGTTTTCAATACATTTTTAAAGTAGTGCATTACATTTTCTAGCACATTTTCTGTCACAAACTTTGTGCTATTAAGCTCAAATGATCTGGAGTTTAAATTATTTGATCAGCACTTTGCCTTCTATTTCTAGATGTCTAGGACATTATATAACAGTGTGGAGTAAATACCAGGCACTTAATAAATAGCCTTTAGATTTTAATTTAGAATGATCTTTCCTGTTGGAATCATGAGTGCCTTCACATATTGTCTTGATTCTCCAGGAGGTGATATACTCGTAAACTGGCAATGCTGCAGGTGACTCTAGGAGCCAATGCGCAACTTACACAGCAGCAGCAGATAAGGACAATTGCAAAGGCCTGAAGAACTCCTGCTGTGCCCACAACCCATGTAAGACGTAGGAAGAGGATCACTCCAAAAATATTTTGTAGACAAGGGAGGTAGACACCCATGAAGGTACCCATCTGGGGGCTCTGGAAAGAAAAATGTAAACAGAAGGAAAAATAGTTAGCCATAAAAGGTGCTTTGATTTACTATGTTAGTGTCAAAGCAGACAGTGAGTTTAAGCATTATCTTCAAAAAGCACATGTAAATCTCCTAGCAAAGTCTTTCACTATTCCTTTATTTTATATATTTAAAATATTTTACTTATTTTTAATATTATATGCATAAATGTCTTGCCTGCATGCAATGCAGGGAAGGGCTTGGATGCCCTGGAACTAGAGTTGTAGATGGTTATTAGCCACTGTGTGCATGCTTGTAATCAAACCTAGGTCCTCTGCAAGAGCAGCCAGGGCTTGTAACTGCTGAGCCATCTCTCCAGTCCTATTCTTATATATTTTTAATTAGATAAGTTCCTACATGTTTTTATTATACCTAAGTAATGAACCACAAAAATCTTCAAGTGTGTGCTCAACAATTTAAAATTTTCTATTCTTCAAGGCTGTTACATTTATCTTTTCATTTTAAAACAGAAAAATGGCTTACAGAAATTCTTCAGAATTAGACATCAATTCTTTACAATGGTTGGTAAATGAAACAGATGGAAAAACAAAAACTTAAGGGCCATTTGCTCCTTTTGCAAAGACCTGAACCAGAATGTCAAATTGTGTATACTGGCATATTTTCAATATAAGAAAAATGCTAGTCTTGAAAAAAAATTGACTTATTTAATTTCATGTGTATGAGTGTTTTGCCTGAAGTATGTAAGTGCACCCATGCGTGCTATACCTGTGGAGGGCATCAGATCCCCTGGAACTGGAGTTAGGGACAGTTGTTACCTGTCATGTGGGTGCTGGGAACTGAACTCAGGTCCTCTGCAAGAGCAGCCAGTGCTCTTAACCTGAGCCATCTCTTCAGGCCCCCAAACAGCTAGGCTTAAAACAAAAATCCAGCAATTGCTAGGTATTGTAGCACATGCCTATAATCACAGAACTTGGAAGGCTGAGGCAGTAGGATTCTAAATCCAAGACCAGCCTGTGACGTATCCCAGTGGTCAGATGGCATCAACAGATAGGTGGAGATATTCTCCACTGATGCGTTGGTCCATGTCCTGCAATGCTGTCTTCTCATGTGGCTAACTTCCTTGTTCTGCTCAAATGCCACCATGTCAGACTGGCTTTCTCTGTCTGACCTACCAGAGCAGCAAATCCTGCCAGTCTCATTCCCTTTTACCCTGCTTGAATTGTTCAAGCATTTATTGACACTCAAAATGCTGTGTATTTTAACAGAGTTAAGACAGCTTAGGGACTGTCTCCCCATGTGACAGCTAGGATACCATACTGCTGGCTGTGCCATGATGCTAGTGGTCACAATAGAGCTGGGCATACATTTAATGAACAGTTACTTAACACAGACTGATGCCGTGGGTACATCTTCCTTTCTTATAGCTGATGCTCTTTTTATTTATCCTGGGTGTTCTGAGGCCTCACCTTGGTAGGCTTCTTTTTCCCTTCAGTGATGTTTTCTGCCTCTTCATGTTCTTTTGCTCCTTGTGTCAGGTTAGTGTAATTGGCCATGCGGTTCAGGAGAGAAGACACCTTTGGTCTGGTGTCCATTTCTTCCTATAAAATAAGAAATATAGAAGAAATAGATTATGTAGAATACTGAAATTAAGCAACAAAACTTTCTATCAGGAAACTACAAAGTAAATGATAAAACATTTCACAGATAAATAATTTTAAGAAAATTTGTCAGTGAGACAATTTGTTCCTCACATTTAAAAGATTACACAGGGTTGAGAGTATAGCTCAGTGATAGTGTGGTTGACTAGCATGCACAAGGTCCTGGGTTTAATCCCTAGCACCAAGAAGATAAAAAAAAAAGACCACATTTAATTAGAGCAACATAAATTCTTTTTTAATTATTTTTTGAAATATATATCTTATACCATATATATATATATATGGTAATGGGTTTCATTATGGCATTTTTCAAACGTGCAATTATCTTTGCTTTAATTTGTCTCCCTCCTCTGCCTTCCCCCATCGCTTCTTCCCTCTTAGTCCCCATTTCTGCTTTCACATTACAAGTATTCTATTACCCTCTCTTTCCTTACTTCCCCCCTTCCTTAAGCTCTCTTCTTCCCTTTTCATGGTCTGCTTTCTGGACACACACACACACAGACACACACAGACATGAGAAAAAATATACAGTATTTGTCTCAGTCTGGCTTATTGTGCTTAACATAATTTCCAGTTCCCAACCATTTTTCTGCAAATGCCATGATTTCATTTTTCCTTGTGGCTGATGAAAATTCCATTGTGTATGTGTACTATATTTTATTATTCATTCATCTGTTGATGGCCATCAAGACTGGTTCTATGTTCTAACCATTATGAATAATGAAGTAGTGAACACTGATTTGCAAGTATTTATGTAGTATGTTGAGTTCCAGTCCTTGGAGTATATATTTGAGTATTGCTGGGTCATATGGCAGTTCTATTTTTAGTACTTAAGAAACCAGCATACTAATTTTCATGACTCCACCAGTTTATAGTCCCACCAGTAGAGCATAAAGATTCCTCTTTCCCCAATTCTTGCCAGCATTTTTGTTTGTTTTCTTGATGAAAACTTCAAGATAGACTCTTAAAAGCAGTCTTAATTTGCACTTCTCTGATAGCTAAGGATGTTGAACCCTTTCCAAATATTCACCATTCGTATTTCTTCTTTTGAGAACTGTCTATTCAGTTCATAAGCCTATTTATTGATTTGAAGATGCTTAATTTGGGGAGTTATTTATATATTCTAGGTATTACATTAAAACATTTGTGTATGTGTGTTGGGGAAGCATGGCACAGTACACATGTGGAGGTTAGAGGACAACTTGTGGGTACTGGTTCTCACCACCATACGGGTCCCAGGGATCCAAATCAGGTTGTCAGGATTGGTGGCAAGTGCCTTTACCCACTAAGCCAATTCACTGCTCCTGTGTTCTAAATATTAATCCCATCTCTAATGTGTAGTTGACAAAGACCTTTTCCCATTCTGTAGGTTCTCTCCATTTCCTTTGCTGTGCAGAAGACTTTTAAATTTCATGTTATCCTATTTATCAATTGTGATTATTTCTAGTGCAATTGAAGTCCTTTTCAGAAATTCCTTGTATGTACTTATATCCTGAAGTGTTTTCCCTAATGTGTCTTTCTAGATGCTTCAATGTTTCAGGTCTTATTTTAAGGAATTTGATCCACTTTGAACTGATTTTGTGCAGAGTCAGAGACATGGACACAATTTTCCTCTTCTATATGTGCACATCCAGTTTTCCAGCACCATTTGTTCCATTTGTTGAAGAGGATTCACCTTTCTCCATCATATGTTTCTGGAATCTTTGTTGAGAATCAGGTAGCTGTAGATGTGTGGATTTATTTCTGGGTTTTCTATTCTATTTTCATTGGTCTAAATCTCTGCTTTTGTGTCAGTACCATGCTTTTTTTCACTATGGCTCTGTAATATAATTTGAGATGAAGCATTATGATGCCTCCAGCATTGTTTTCTCTGCAGACTTAGGACTGCTTTGGCTATTTCGGGTCTTTGTGCTTACATATGAATTTTAATATTGTTTTTCAAGTTCTGTGAGAAATGTCTTTAGAATTTTGATGTGCACACCTGCATATGTAGGCAGCTTCTGGTAATAGAGTCATTCTCATAATATTAATTCTGCCAATCCACGAGTGTGTGAGGTATTCTCATCTTCGTCTTTGAATTTCTTTCTTCCATGTCTTAAACATTTTCATTATGGAAGTCTTTGAACCTCTTTGGTTATGTTTAAATCCCAGACATTTAAAAAAACAATTTTTTTTTTGTCTTTTTGAGATAGGGTCTCCCTGTAGCCCCAGCTGTCTTGGAACTCGCTATGTAGACAAGGTTGGCCTTGAACTCAGAGATCCGCAGGCCTCTGCCTCCTGAGTGCTGGGACTACATGTGTGTGCCACTACGCCTGGCTAAATCCTAGACATTTAAAAAAAGATTTATTTATTTTTTCTTTATTTGTGTATTTGCTTGCATGCATGTATGTGCATCATATGCTTGCCTGGTGCCCACAGAAGAGGGTGTTGGGGCCCCTAGAACTGAAGTTGCAGATGGTTATTAGTTGTTATGTGACCCTGGGAGTTAAACCCAGGGTCTCTACATGAGCAGCAAGTGTTCTTAACCACTGAGCCATCTCTCCTGCTCCATAAGTCTGGGGTAATTTTTAGCTAATGTGAATGAAATTTTTCACCTTATTTCTTTCTTAGCAGTTCATTATTAGTTTATAGAGAGACTATTGATTTTTAGCCATTGTGCTGAAAGTGTTTATCAAATATGAGTTTTCTGGTGAACTCTTTATGGTATTTTAGGTATAGGGTCATGTTTGAAACAAGGGTAATTTGACTTCTTCCTTTTCTATTGGTTTCTCATTTATTTCTCTTGTATTATTGCTGTAGCTGAGGCTTCAAGCATACTGATCAATTCTTTTTTTATTGTCAGAAAATTTACCCATTTTATTGATGCACTGCAATTGCTCTACTTTTTACCTTATTATGTAGAAAATACTAAAAATAAAATACAAGCTACTTTGTAAATACTGATCAGTTCTTACAAAAATTCTTTTAATGGGCAAATTTAAATTGCATATATTTATGAAGTACATTTTTTTATCTTTTTGAGACAGGGTCTCCCTGTAGAGATCTGCCAACCTCTGCCTCCCAAGCACGCCAACACGCCCAGCATGAAGTCGTTTTTATGAGCAGTGCTGGAAACTGAACCTAAGGCTTCACATACGTTAGATAAATGCTTTACCACTGAGCTGTATTCCTAGACAAGGTTAGAAAAATATGCATACATTATGGAATGATTAACTTAAACTAGTTGTTACCTTATCCATCAGATCCTCAATGACTGACTTTTTTTGTGGTGACATCCTTTAAAATCTACACATTAGGTATACTAATCATATTGTTAAGGTTTAGATAGCCCTGCCCCCTCACCAACAGGATCCCAAGGACTTCTCATGCTCCTGAGAAAAGGGAACCTAGCTGATAAGCACCTTGGTCTTTGAAGTCAAGAGAAGCAGACTTTTCTCCACTGTTTGGCCAACACAGCAGGCTTCCCCTTTGATCTCTAAAGAGGACAGGTTTTAACAGTCCTGCTCTTCCCCGCCCCCAACTTAAAAAAAAAAATACATCTTCTCACCTTCTGCAGGAAGCAGAAGCCTCCCTTTTAAAAAGACCCCAGCTCAAGACCAGGGCACACATTTTCCCTGCCCTGAAGGGAATCTGTCCCATGTGTTCCTTTGCTAATAAACCCTATTTTGATGGAGTTTTAACTGTGCCTTGGTACCTCATCATCCATTCGCTCATTCTCCACCAACTTTTTACCTATCACATATTATATAACAGATTTGAAAAACATATTTCTCCTAATTGAAACTTTGTAACTTAAAAATTATATCTTCCCATTAGCACTCCCTCTGCCCTCTGGTAATTACCTCTACTCTTTGCCTCTGTGAGCTTGAGTTTTTCAGACTCTACATATAAGTAAGATCATATTTCCTTCTGTGTCTGGCTTATCTCCCTTAACTTGTATCTTCCATGTTTTCACAAATGGTAGGATTTCCTCTTTTTAAGGGTTGAACAGTATTCCATTATGTGCACATATCAGATTTTTCACATGGTAGTTTTATTCTTTTTTTTTTTTTGGTCTTTTTGAGACAGGATCTCCCTGTAACTCACTGTGTAGACCAGGCTGGCCTTGAACTCAGAGATCTGTCTGCCTCTGCCTCCCGAGTGCTGGGATTAAAGGCATGCACCGCCACGCCTGGCTATTTTTTTTTTTTTTAAAGAAATTCTATGCTTTCTTCCACTTACATTTTATTTGCTTGTAGTCAGACTGAAGGCCTTTAGCTTGTAGGCAAGTGGTCTACCACTGAGCTAGACTCCAAAGGCCTCTGTTTATAACATTTTTAAATGAAGACTTTGACTAGCCTTTTATAGTAGCCATGCAACAAAGAGAGTGAAAATAAAACTACTCACTCCTGCAGTAATCTAGCAAAAAACATTAGTGATCTGATTCTTAACCCTAATCCCTATCTGTTGTGGGATATGTTTACTAACCTTTATGGCAGTCATTTATAGCAACAAGCATCGGAACACTAAGGGAAAAATTTTGTGACTAAATTTAATATACATCTTAACTCTTGCTTTAAGGTAGTCAAGAGAAAATATTGTTTCTCAAAAAAAAAAAGTATACTCCAGTGGGCGCATTTACACTGAAGGACATTTAGGTACAAACACCTGAATGAATGGGACTCAAAATGTATGGCAGAGTGCAAGGATTTGGTGGGGGAATGGGGGAGGCTTGGATGGGGGAGGGGTCTGGATTTGAGTGGGAAATGTATGAAATTTTAAAAGTTTAATTAAAAAAAAGTATACTGAAAGATGGGGCATTTGCATCAATATCAAAAGCCACTCAAGCAGTGTTAGAATAAACCAGCCTGGCCACAGTCCTCATTACAGTACACACTATTATAGGCAGATAAGATGCATAGCTCCTCTTCTTTATGCAAAGCACAATAAGCCAGACACAGAAAAATGAAGACCACATGACTTATGTGTGGAATATAAATTTTTGAACTTATAGAGGCAAAAATATTGGTTACCAGAGGCTAAGGTTGGGAAGGCAGTAAGGAGACAGTGCACAAAATTTCAGTTAAGTAGGAGTGTTTCAAATCTATTGTACAACAGTGACTATAGTTAATAAATATATTTTAGCCAGGTATGGTGGTGCATTGCTTTAATCCCAGCACTAGGGAAGCAAAGGTAATGTGGATCTCTGTGCATTTGAGGCCAGCCTGGATTTTATTGTGAATTCTAGGTCAACCAGGGGCTACATAGTTAGACCCTGTCTCAAAAAACAAACAAATAAATAAACTACATATATACATACACACACAAACATTTTTAAATTATTAAGTAAAATTCTAATAGTCATACTACAAAAATTTATGAGATAATATACATATATTAATTCGCTTGATTTAATTGTTCTATAAAGTACACATAAATCAAAATACTGTATTTTACCTTCCCCCAACATGTATACAATTATTATTTGCCATTTATGAAAATATACTACTTCACACTTAGATTATTCTGAAGGAAACACTTCAATCACAGCTAAATGTCTAAGTCCATTCTCTTCCTTACTTTCAAATTTTACTTACGGGTATTCACTGTAATTAGATTATATGGCTAGAGCTAACAACAACAATATTGTTAATTATAATAACTACTATACATTTTAACTCATTATTAGATTATCCAGCTCCTACTACTGTAAAACCAAATAGCTACCTTGAAATCTGTCCTTAAAAATCTCTGTCCATAGTATTCTCCCAAATATTACCTCAAAGAGTGCCAAGTTTTTATCAAAGTACTCGTCTCCTTCTTCATAACTGGAATTACTGAGATAAGCATTTCGAGCTTTCTTACGCCCATCATCTGAAAGAAAAGGTAAACCAAGTTAGCCTTTCACTGGTACTGAGATGCACCAGCACCAAGAAACTGTATGTTGCCTCCATATTAACAGAAACCATTTTCAAATTCAAATTAATTTTTCTTCTGGTCTTTTTGAGACAGGGTCTCCCTGTAGCCCCAGCTGTCCTAGAACTCACTAGGTAGACCAGGCTGGCCTTGAACTCACAGAGATCTGCCTGCCTCTACCTCCTGAGTGCTGGGATTAAAGGCTTGCGCCACCACACCTGGCTTCAAATTAATTTTTAAAGAAATATTTTATTATTTTTATTTTATGTGTATGAGTGTATTGCCTGCATGTATGTGAGTGCACCCATGTCATGCAATGCCGGGGTGGTCAGAAGAGGGCTTCGGACTCCCCTGGAGCTGGAGTTAAGGACGGTTCGTAGCCGTGATGTGGGTGCTGGGAATCGAACCTGGGTCCTCTGCAAGTGCAGCCAGTGGTCTTAACCGCTGAGCCATCTCTCCAGCCCCTCAAATTAATTTTTTTAAAGATTTTATTTTTATTATTTTATGTGTCTGAGTATACTGCCTGCATGTATGTAAGTGTACCTATGTTTTGCAATGCCTGTGGAAGTCAGAAGAGGCTGTTGGATCCCCTGGAAATGGAGTTACAAACAATTGTTAGCCACATTGTGGGTGTTGGAAATTGAACCCATGTCCTCTTCAAGAGCAGCCAGAACTCTTAACCACTGAGCCATCTCTCCAGCCCCTCAAATTCAAATGTAATCTGGGTGGTAGAATTCAATTAGCACTGCTTAGAGAATGTGGCATCCTTTATAGCAGAACAAAAATCAATCAGAAAACCAAAGAAATAAACATGAGTCATTTATTTTCCTAATATAGGACACCTAGAAACATTCTTCTAGGATTTTAGCCTATAGATGCTCTAAAGTTACCCACATGTAGAATGAAAAACTATCACTCAGTGTGTGTTATATCATCTAGCCATGGGCTACTTTACAAATTGTTGCTGCTGACAATAGGAGAAAAAGCTCTCTGTTTCCAGGACTGACACTGAAAAATAATTTTTTAAAGTTTAGTCTGTGTGTGTGTGTGTGTGTGTGTGTGTGTGTGTGTGCGCGCGCATGCACACTACAATGTGCATGAGAAGGTCAGAGGATAACATGGAGTTGATTCTCTTCTACCTTTACAGGGGTTTTGGGAATCAAACTCAGATTGCCAGGCTTGCACAGCAAGTGCCAGTTGAGCTGTATCACCAGCCTCTTGTCTGATGTCTTATTGATACCATGAGGTAATTGAATCTATTATTATTATTACTGTTATTAGTTTTGTGAAACGGGGTCTCACCCTGAGGCCCAGATTGGTCTCAAGCTCCTGACTGTCCTGTTACATCCTCCCAACTACTAGATTATAGGTGTGTGCCACCACAGCCAGCTTCTAAGAATAATTATTGTACGAACACTTCCATATTATTTTTATCTTCAAAAAAGCACTCAACAGGAATTTGATGAGCCAGATGTGAGAAAACCAAGTAGAAACTGAGTCCATGAGGCAGCAAAGTTTGTGTTCTATGAATACTTCCTTATCTTTAGGTTTCTAAAATTGTGCGTAAGTTACATGATTATATGGTCTGGCAGGAAAGAAGAGAAAAAGAATTGTGTAAATGCTGTTTAAAACTAAGGTTTTCAATACTGAAGAAAGAGACACTAATAAAAAAATTTAAAGCACAGTATCTTACATTAAAAACACTAAGATGAGTCTGGCAAAAAGTCAGCAAGCTGGGGGTTGGTGAGATGGCTCAGTGGTTGCTCTTGCAGAGGACCTGTGTTGGAGTCCCAGCACCCACATGGCAGCTAACAATGGTCCATAACTCCAGTTCCAGGAGATCCAATGCCCTTTTCTGAGTTCTGTGGGCAGTGCACGACACGGGTGCACTTACATACACGCAGGCAATACACTCATACACATAAAATAAAAACAATAAATATTTTTTTAAAAGACAGTAAGCTACTGAAATGACTGGGTCATTTCAAAGGACACAGGACCAATTTGAAGGAGTTTCTAATGGTCCTTGGGGGGGTTACTATGAGTACAGAAAATAAAGTGATAGACTGGAATTCAGACACATAAGATATTTAAAATAATACTTTTTTTTTTTTTGGTCTTTTTGAGACAGGGTCTCCCTGTAGCCCCAGCTGTCCTGGAACTCACTATGTAGACCAGGCTGGCCTTGAACTTACAGAGATCTGCCTGCCTCTGCCTCCCGAGTGCTAGGATTAAAGGCGTGCACTACCATGCCCGGCTAAAGTAATACTTTTTAAAACTAGTCAATTTTGCCAAGTTTTAGGTAAATAGCATAAAAGCTCTGAAAGATAATGAAAAGATTATAATCCTGTCTTCTGATAACTATATTTGAGGACAGTTATATAGCTAACGAAAAAGTATTCATTATATACACAGTATGGCTAATGTTTTCCTACACAATGGTTCCATAAGTCATACAAATTGGTAATCTGTAATGAAATAATGGGATCTAGGGAATCATCACAGACAGCTGTGAAAACCACTGGGAAAGGGCTGAGGCATGACTTTCTAATGGTAAATCAGTGTGATCCCACTGACAAACACTAACATCACTGAAGGCAAGACACTGTTCAATCTATGATGTATTCTTAGCAAAACAACCCCATCTTAAAAATTATGCCTCTCCCGGTTCATAGAAAACACAAAGGATGAACAGGTTAAACATCCTCACAAAGACCTAATCGCCAAAGTCAGAATGTAGAAAAATCTGCACCAGTTTAACCTTTTAGCTTACATGATTTGCTGAAAGAAATTAGATGATTTTCATGTACATTTTCTACATTTTGGGGTATGGTGGTTTAAATGAGAAGTGTCCCCACAGGCTCATGTATTTGAACGCTTGGTCACCACTTGGTGCTGCTGTTTGGGCTACTATGGAACCTCACTCCACTTCCAGTTTGCTCTCCTTTCTGCATGTTGTTGAAAATGTGACCTCACAGCTTCCTGATCCAGCTGCCTGCTGCCATGCCTCCTTTCCCTTCCATTACGGACTCTCTTTCTGGAACTGTAAGACAAAATAAACTCTTTCTTCCATAAATCACTTTTAGTCATGGCATTTTACCACAGTAAAAAAAGAAGTCAACTGCAGGGCGTGGTGGCGCATGCCTTTAATCCCAGCATTGGGAGGCAGAGGCAGGCAGATCTCTGTGAGTTCAAGGCCAACCTTGTCCACATAGTTCCAGGACAGCTGGGGCTACAGGGAAACCCTGTCTCAAAAAAAAAGACCAAAAAAAAAAAAAAAAAAAAAGTTAACTAATACAACAGGCTGTCCTATGTTACCTAGATTGTTCTGGAATTTCTGGGCTCAAGTGAGCCTCCTGCTTTGGCTTCCTAATAGCTGGGATTACCAGTGTGTGCCATTATGCCTGGTGTCCCTTCTTTTCTGGTTCACCAACTCTAGTTAAGAGGATGGGGTGCTGCAGTGAGGGAATGAGTGATGTGAGAGTGGGCTAATGTTTTTTTATGGATAACATTTTTTTTAAGTTAGAAGAGATCACAGCTGGGCATGGTGGGTCATGTCTATAACTCCAAGCATTCATGAGGCTGAGGCAGGAGAACTGAAGCAAGTTCCAGGCCAGCCTGATATACGTAGTGAGTTCAAAGCCAGTGTTGGTGACATAGTGAGACCTTGTCTCAAAGAAACAAACAAAATGAAGAGACAGTTTAAGCAGGGCAAGTGGGGCAATTTAGAATAATCGAATGATTCAACTAAATCATATCAATAAATTTACTGCATAACATAAAGACTGACAAATAAAATCTAGAAATAGTCTGTTCATAAGAGACATAAAAACACATAGAATTTGAAGTAAAAAATTTATCAGGCAAAAACCATTATTATAATTTATTAATATCACTAAAACTATACCAGAGATTAAAAAGTAACCACATAAGGAAAGTGTACTTACTTCATTAAGAAGTTCCAGGGCTGGAAAATGGCTCAGTGGTTAGAAGCAGTGGCTGCCTTTGCAGAGGACCAGGGTTCAGTTGTCAGCACCCATATGGCAGCTAACAACTGTCCATAAATCCAGTTCCAGGGGATCTGACACCTCTTTTGGCCTCCATAGGCATTGCATGCATGGGTACACTTACATACATGCAGGCAAAACACTCATACACATAAAATGAAAATAAATTTTTAAAAACTTAAAAATAGAAGTTATACCAACTTTAAACACAAATGTACTTTGGGTTTTTTTTTTTTTTTTGGTCTTTTTGAGTCAGGGTCTCCCTGCAGCCTTAGCTGGCCTGGAACTCACTATGTAGATCAGGCCTGAGATCAAAGGTCTGCACCACACACACAGCAGTTAATTATTTTTATGTAACAAATCACCCCCAAATTTATTGGCTTAATACTCACCTGTTATCTCAAAATTTGTGAGATAAAACAGTGGCCATCTTTTTAAATCTGGAGGTTTATCTTTTTTTTTTTTTTTGAGACAGGGTTCTCACTGTGTAAACCTGGTCTCAAACTCGGAGATTCAACTGTTGCTGTCTTCCATGTGCTGGGATTAAAGGCATGTGTCACCATGCCCTGCCAACAGACACAGCTGGAAAGAAATCTATCTTCTTTATTGCTTTTCATTCTCTGTGGTCCATTCTTGTTCTTTCCCTGTCTCTTTGGAATTTTGGGTTGTTTTTTTTTCTTGTCTCATTTTCCCTCAAGTTTCTGTATTATATTTCTATTCTTTCAGCAACTACCCTTAAAGTTTTACATAATTTCACTCATAACAAATTCTAGAAAAGACTAAAATAGCTTAACATTCTCCCAAGCTAACAAAGACTTCCAAACATTTCAGTTCTAACGCTTTCCTCCTGACATAATTAATATTCCTCTCTAATATTTCCAGTGTCTTTTTAAAATTAATTTTTTAATTTTTATTTATTTTTATTTTATGTATATGAGTGCTTTGCCTGCA